TGACTGTATCGAGGCATTTGAAGCCCTCGTTGGGAGTGTAAGCCGGGAAGACACGATGAGCTCTCAGCTAGAGACACTGAGAATACCAGTCATTCTGCTTCTTGCATGTGTACGGTGATGCGCACACAGTAGGGCCAGTCCAACCATTTCCTCCGCACTGATCCCAATGAGCAGCAGTCTTGGTGGGTGCAGCAGCAGTGGTAATTGTCTTGGTAGTCGAAGAAGTAACAGTGGTCTTGCTTATCGTTGTGACGAGCGTGGTGGTAGGAGTAGACGTGGTCTTGATCGTCGAAATGGCTGTACTGCTGGAGACTGAGGATGTGGCAGTAGCAGCGGCGGCGAGGAGGCTCTGCACCTTGTAGTAGGCGGGCTTGGCAGTGAGGTTTTGCCAGTACAGGCACGCCTCTCCCTGTCCGCTGAAGGTGCTCGGGATCCACGAGTACTTGTCGTCAAAGTCCCAGACGGTGATACCCACGCACCGGGACACGGCAAGACAGGCGCCCACGACAGCACCATAATCATTGGCCTGTTGGGCGTAGCCGGCAGCATTGGCGGGAAGACTAGAGAATCGGACGTCGAGCTCAGTGTAAGCGACATCGACGTCGAGTGCGACGAAGGAGTTGAGGACGTTGGTCAGATCGGTTTGGCTGGGCGTTCCACCGACGATGAAGTGGCCCTGGAAGCCAACACCGTGGATCGGTGCGCCAGCAGCCTGTATGGTTTTGACGATGTTGAGTGCCGCGGTGGCTTTCGCCCCGGAGTACTCGATGTTGTAGTCGTTGTAGTACAGGCGGGCGTCTGGATCCGCGGCAGCTGCGGCTTTGAAGGCGATGGGAAGGTATGAAGTGCCAAGGACGTTGTAAAATACATCGGCTCGGAAGGTACCGTCGTCGTTGAGTGCCTCATTGACGACGTCCCAAGCATAACATTGTCCCTTGTAATGGCCGACCTCACTGGCGATGTGCGCGTTGATGACATCGGTGAGCTGGGCGGCAGTCCAACTGCCAGAAGAGACTACGAATGTGTGTTAGTGATACGGAAGTGATTAAGCAAGAACAGTCCGGACTCACCCCACGAGGGAAGTTGGTTGTGCCAGACGAGATTATGGCATCGGAGAATCTGACCATTGGCCTCGGCGAAGTTGGTGATCACATCGCCCTGCGTGTAGTCAAAGACACCGTTGGAGGGCTCCGTATATTGCCATTTCTGCGTGTTGCCGGGTGTGATCTGGCCGAATTCGTCCTTGTTCTTCAAGACATTGACGTAGGCTGAGTCGGAGAGCTCGCTGTTGTCGGTAGCTGAACCAAAGTACAACTTGCCAGCGGCCTTGGCGAGCTGGTTGAGGTTCCCCTGGACGCCGGGGATAGCCAGCAGAACTGCTGTTGCAGTAGTAGCCTTGGTGAGAAGATGCATTGTGTCTGTAGCTTGGATAGGAGGGCTACCCTTGGCAAGATACTAGTCTGTAGGATATGTAGACCTGGTCACCTTAAATGTTGAGCTTTCTCGGCCATTGCCCCACATCCTCTCCAGCTGCTCGCCTGCCACTAGGCGTCCGAGTCTTCCATGTTCATTCGCCCATATTCTTCAATCATGTTCTCCTGAGCTTGGAAATCTTGCGGGCCGCAAGGCAGGTAGGGTTGCAGTTGGTGTGCCGGCAGCAACAGGCTTGGTATACCACTAACCACTTCTGTCACGGAGCCTCAAGTCTCTCGTCCGTGCTCGTGGCGTCCGGGCAGGTCCAGGCCCGTTATCACGTCACGGCATTTCATGAGTAACTAAGCTGAGAGTCAAGTGGAGACAATAGAAATGACACATCGCAGTGCCTACACACATGCGGGCGACCAGCTGAGGCAAGACACGGAACCTTGGAGACGTCAGCATCTGATGATTCAAGCAAGCAGACGCAGAGAAGGAGATGCAAGGGAGAGGACGATGTTGAGGGTGGAGTCACGGAGGTTGACTTGATGTTGGCCTTGATTGGTGTAGCTCGAAACATAAATTGTGGGGCATGGCTCGGCGCGTGCTCCGGTTGAGCCAGGACATCATCGACCAGCGGTGCCGAATTGACACGATCTTCGCATCGACCGAATCTGAGTCTCCTAGCCAGGGAAAAACTTGCAAATCATGGTTGTGTGGCCAGGTTGCCGTTTCTTTCTTGTCCCTAATGGACGTTTGTGGTAAGCGTGAGAAATGTTGTGTTGAGATGTCCTTACAGGCTGCTTGCGGAGTTGCGGCACGAGATTTTTCCTGTCCCGCCCCATCGGAACTTTCACACGTGTGAGACGTTTGCAGCCGCAAGACACCCAAATCAGTTTTAGGGACAACAGCTTCGGAGCACAAATCCCAAACCATCGTGGCTCGTCACGGGGTCAAAGGAAAAGGAGGAGGAGACGACGGCTAGTGCAGAGACGCTGAGATGGGTTTTCTGGAGAGTTGATTGGATGCTGTCACCAGCAGGCCTTTTCAGCCTGAACTAAGACCTCCAGGGACACTCCACGCACGACGAAACCTCATGCTCTCCTCATCGTTGGTCGGCAGTATCTCAAGCTGTATCAGTTATCTAATTCAGTCACAAGCACGAATCGAGGCAACCCGAGAACCAGGACACAAGCAATACCCGATCTCGCTAACCGAGGGAGCATGAACTAACCTTACCTGGGTTTGCTGTACCTTTCAAAATGCCCGATCCATGTCATTTGCTGGTCAGTAGCCGGCAACGTCAATGTCTCATGCTGGATCAGGAACAACAAGCTTTTTTGGGGCCGCCCAACCGAACAAACGTGCTTATTGTGGACGGGCTGCCCTCTGGTAAACACCCTCAATTTCCACTGTCTTGAACGGACCCTAGCAATACGCGGCCATGTGTCCAATTAAGGTTATCAGTGTCATCAGACATTGCCTCGACGACCCTGACCGGAATGGCGCAAACACCAGAAATTCCCATCAACGATTCATGTTGACCAGCGCCAAGGCACTGGAATGGTGGCACTCAGGGCCTGACGTAGGGGTCCAGGCTTGTTTGTCTAGCTCCCATTTCGAGTGGTTGGAATGCGCCAAGGCCAACCTTGACGCTACAACAACATGGAGATCCAAAATAAGTGAAAATCAGGGTCACTGATAGACAGACATTAAGCACCGAAGAGGGGTCATTTCAACCGATGGGGCTGTTTCCGCTGTATTCTATGCCCGATAGAGATCCGCGACAGTTACCTGTTCCAGTAGCAGGCACACCTATGAGCGATCCACAAGAGATAGACACTTCTCTGCGTCACCCTTCCTGGTATAAGAAGCCTCTTGGCCATCTCGTCCCATGCGTGCAACAAGCGTGGCTCCCATTACTACCAAATTCTCCCAGATTCTCACGCTATGCCCATGGCTTCTCTTGTTACCCTCGCTCTCTTGGCAGGCAACGCCTTTGCTCAAACTCAGACCCTTTGGGGCCAATGCGGCGGTCAAGGCTGGAGTGGTGCAACAAACTGTGCATCCGGCAGCTGCTGCAGTACTAGGAACCCGTGGTACGCCCAGTGTACACCCGGTGCAGGCTGTGGCGGCGGCGTAGGGTCAACAATGACCACCACGAGCGTCGCGGCCAAGGCAACCACTTCGAGCGTGTCCACGCCCGCGCAAACAAGCACCACCAGCACCGCCAGCGCCAGCGCCAGTACCAGCCGTGTCCGCTTTGCCGGTGTCAATCTGGCCGGCTTCGACTTCGGCTGCGGCACGGATGGGACTTGCGATACCTCCGGCATTTACCCACCCGTCAGGAATTTCCCACCAGACTACAACCACCCTGATGGTGCCGGCCAGATGAGGCACTTTTACAACGACGATAACATGAACATATTCCGTCTTCCCGTTGGTTGGCAGTACCTCGTCAACAACAACCTGGGCGGTACCCTAGATGCCACCAACTTTGGCTACTACGACCAGCTCGTCCAAGACTGCTTATCAACAGGAGCATACTGCATCGTGGACATCCACAACTACGCTCGCTGGAACGGCGCCATCATCGGCCAGGGCGGCCCTACCAACGACCAGTTCGTCTCGGTCTGGAAGCAATTGGCGCAAAAGTACGCCTCGGAGCCCCGAATCTGGTTCAGCATCATGAACGAACCCCACGACATCCCCAACATCTCCACTTGGGCTGCTACCGTGCAAGCCGTCGTCACAGCTATCCGCAAAGCCGGAGCGACCAGCCAATTCATCTCCCTCCCGGGAAACAACTGGCAGTCGGCCGCCGCTCTCGTCAGCGACGGGTCCGCGGCGGCTCTGTCGAAGGTCAAGAACCCCGACGGAACCACCACCAACCTCATCTTTGATGTGCACCGCTACCTCGACTCCGACAACAGCGGTACGCACACGGAATGCGTGACCAACAACATCGATGACTCTTTCGCCCCGTTGGCCACCTGGCTGCGGCAGAACAAGCGCCAGGCCATCGTCACCGAGACGGGCGGCGGTAACACCGCTAGTTGCGAGCAGTATCTGTGTCAGCAGATTGAGTTTTTGAAGTAAGTTCTACCCCTTTCAGTTATTATGAAGAAAGCGATTGACCATCTATGCAGCCAAAACTCGGATGTCTTCCTGGGCTATGTCGGCTGGGCCGCCGGTTCGTTTGATGATACTTATGAGCTGGTTGAGACGCCAATCTGGAATGGTAATGGATGGACAGATAGGGCCTTAGTCAAGGCCTGTCTTGCTCGTTAAGAGCTGGTTGGAAGTTGAAACTTGGTTGAACTAGGCGAAAGAGCAAACGGGTAAAGCGTGCAAGTCAAGTTGTATTTTTATGTCACTATATCACACAAGCCACTGAAAACTGTGAACTGCCGCAACCTCAAGATGCAATTGCGTATTCGCTCGAGTTAGGAGGTCGTTCCCTCACTACGTGTTTGGTGAACCCCATGCCCCGGTCAATCTGCCAAAGCGGGAAGGAACATCCTGACGTTTTGCCAAGACTTTGATTCTACTCAAGAGAGATTGCGGGGTAGAGCTGCCATCAAGGCAAGGTGCCAGAGTGGTTAATGGGTATGACTAGAAATCATATGGCTTCGGCCGCGTAGGTTCAAATCCTGCCCTTGTCGAAATTGCGAAATTTCGCCTTGATTCACCTATTTTTGTCAATTTAGTCGGTGTTCAAGCATCAGTCAACTCCTGCGATTTGAACACAAAAGCGACGGCTAGGTCATTCATCCCATTTATCGCGTGCGAGTTAAAGTTTGCGCTAAGCTCAGCAAGCTCAGAACAGCGCTTCAATGTGTGTCCTGGGGATGATCTCATTGGTTCTAAACGTCGAAACTGCGCTCGTGCATCCCGTTGACTCGCTCTGCACCATCGCCATAATTCTTCCTTGCTCATGTTCGCGCTCATCATTAACAACATGAGCATAGATTGAGAGATGACGGGCATATATGTGCGGTTGAACTCATTCATTACAGCTAGTTCGGCAGCCGGAACTCCTCTATCACGCTCCTCGGCTCAACATATTTACCCAATGGCTTATAGGCGACATCGTAGCCGAATGCCTTTGGTCCGCCGACCTCGATACCAAACTCCGTGTCCGTCCACCTCGGCGAACACGTGATGCCGACGACAGTAACATGGTACCCGTACTTGAACTCGGGCACACCCAATGCCCGCCCTGAGCCGTTGTCCAGTATGGCAATCAGGTCCGGCACAGCAGCCACCACACTCACCGTCCCGTCATCCGCCGTGTGCTCAGCAAAGATGTTTTCGTTCTTGAACGGAATCTTCAGCTTGCCACCAGAGATAAGCGGTGCCGCTCGGCCAGCCACCGCTTCCTCGTCATCCTCACAGGCAGCGATATGCACGGCGCCGTAAGAGTGGCCCTTGAACAGACGTCGTTCCACGGCCACAATCTTGCCTCGGAAGAGCACCTTGGCCGCATCTGGTCCTCCTGCTTCGTCGATGATAGCCTCGGCGACAAGGGAGAGGCTATTGGTGGCTTCGCAGCGAGCAATGGCCCGTCCGATACGCCAGGCTAGAGAAACCGTGTTGAGGACGCCGTACTTCCGCACATACTCCGTCTTGGTTGGTTTCGCAGCCATTCCCACGCGGGATCCCATCTCGGAGCAGCTCGCGCGCAGAGCACGGTCGACTATCTCGTCGTTCGAGGTCTTGACCATGAGGATACTCTTGCCATCACCAGAGTCAATGGCGCAAGGCACTAGTTCGCCTGGTTTGTGCACCGCCAGAGTCGTTTGCCAGTACGTGGGATAGGCTCTTCCCATCCAGTCCGCGTCGATGACTGGCGCGTCGAAGAAACGGTTTGAGCCGACGAGGAAGGGCTCCATGCCGTTGGCACCGCCGATCTCGAGGCCCATGACGGCGTCGAAGGAGGTGTGGCCGAGGTACTCCATCAGTGTCCGGAATGCCTCGACTGTCTCGATGGACTGCAGACGCTCGACGGAGACCGCTGGACTACCCATGTGACCGCCCCAGTAGATGACGTCGCTCTCCTTGAGGGCGGACTGGTCGATGATGCGAATCTCGTGGCCTGCGCGGAGCATGTCGCGGAGTTGTATGAAGGATGGCTGGGGAGTGCCGCCGCCTGCACATCCGAGGACGTAGCAGCCGTCCGCTATCCAGGCCAGATCTGTCTCAGAGACGACCCATTCGTCATATTGGCCGGACTTGCTTGGGCGAATGTGCGGCCGGTAGGTCAAGGGGTTGGCACGTTCTGTTTCTGTGAACTTGACAGCGAAATCCTTGGCGGCTTCTGTCGTTTCCTCTTCGTCGTCTTTGTCTTCATGTTCGCCAACAACCTCAGTGTCATCTCTCAAACTGGCTTGGAAGTCTATCTCGCCGATAGCCTTGACGATGGTGCGGAGCTGGTTCGCAACGTACTGGAGCGGCATACTCTCTACTTCGGCAATGGCGACGCTTTCCGGGATGGCACCGGCCGCAATGGCTCTTTCCTCGGCTATCTTCTTGGCATGCTCAATGGCCTGCGTTTCAGTTTGATGGGTGGTACCCTGCACGATATCGACACTGCCGCAAACCTTGCAGATCGCAGCACCCACAGCATTGGCGACATCATGGAAAGGCGGGCGAATGAGTTCCGAGGCTCCATCGAGCGCATCTGGTGCAAGCACGGCGCCACCTCCTACGAGCAACACTGGTACCGGGTCTGGCGAGGTCTTTACCACCTCGATGGCACGTTCAAGCATGATTTTCATGCGCTTGGTGGCCGCATCGACAAAGCCTGGGTCGAGGGCCTCCGCCTTGCTGACATCGCCAATAGAGGCCCTGTCGCTGGCAACGGCAATATCTGTCGCGGTGCAAGTTGGACCGCCAAAGACGAGTGCCTGTTCCGGAAGGAAGTGTCCTACGGACTCTGGCCCAACCTTGACCACGCCGTCATCTCCCTTCCTCACAAGCGATCCACCACCGAGACCGATCGAGTGCAACTGAGGCATAGAATAGTTGACCCTCACACCAGCCACGGTAACATAGGCACTCGCCTGTCTGGGCAGTCCACTCGGCAAGATGACGCCCACATCACTAGTGGTCCCTCCAATGTCCACCACAATGGCACTCTTACCGCCTCCGTCTAACCGCGCCAGATACGCAGCCCCGCGCATGGAGTTGGTCGCACCGCTCGAGAAGGTACGAATCGGAATCCTGGCTGCTGAAGCAGAATCCAAGATCGTCCCGTCGTTTTGCGTGATGAACAAAGGACAGGTCAGGTCCAAACTGCGCATAGCCTTCTTGAACCGTCTGATTGTCTTCCGGGCATATGCCAATATAGCAGCGTTAAGGATGGCTGCGTTCTCGCGTTCCAGGAAGCCGATATTGGCTACCTCATGAGAACAGACGATGTCCACTCCGGGCAGCTCGCGCAGCATGATATCCCGGACACGAGACTCCTGGTGATGGGTCTCGTCGATGGGCGAGAAGACGCCCGCAATCACGACGGCCGTGATGCCGCGCTGCTTAATCTGGCTGCATTGCTCGACGACCTGGGACTCAACGATCGGAGCCTCCTCGGATCCATCAATGTGTAAGCCGCCGTCGATGATGCAGGTGTATCCATTGATAATGCCTGCTAGGTCCGCTGGAAACTCAGAAAAGGGTGGAACTTCCTTCAGAAAGGATTTGGAGAGCCGCACGACAGCGACTTGCTGTAGACGGCGTGCATCGCGCTCCACTACGGCGTTGATGAAGTGGGTTGTGCCGACGGTCACACTGGCAATGCGCGAAGGTGAGATGGAGGCTGATTCGATGACTGCTTGCACAGCGGCTGTGATGCCGGATGTGGCATCAGGTGTGGTGGGTGTCTTTTTGAGGCCGAGGATACCGCGATCAGGGTCGCCTTGGGAGGCAAGGGCCACGTCAATGGCCACTGCATCCGTGTTCGTGCCTGCGAAGTCGTCAGTGCCATGGCTTGTGCATTGTGGAACTGGCTGGAGTAAGCTTACCGCCGACATCGACACCGATGCGGATTGTCTTTTCAGTTACTGCCATGTCTCCTTCCAGATCTTGCACGTTCGCGCTCTCATCTGCCTGTGATCGCAAGGGAACGATCATACCTGCGCTTGGAGGCTGCTATTCTATTTCATACATGATATCGCGCACGTGTTAGTGCGCCAATTCGTGGTGATCTCCAGCCATCCCGATACGACAGCAATCTGCCGGTAACGGAGCTTGTAGTCATTCCAGAGCCGTCGGGAGCCTCTCAAAAGGGCTCAGTACAATACGTCGCATGCTTAAACCACTAAAAGATAACATGTCTTTTGATAAGAGACAGCTTTTCGTTGGCAAGCGCCTTGTGAACGGGTATGCCTAACTCGAGGTTGTAGCATGGAAGGATTCGAGATGCGGGGGAATGATCGCTCTAGAGCTCCGCTGTCTCGTCGAGGGGCCGGTCGGCTCGTTCTCTACCGACGTTACATCAACTGCCGTATGACAGTCAATCCTTCACTCGCTGAACTGGTGCAGATAAACCAAGGGACTGACCAGGAAAAGACATGCAGTGCGATAGCATGGGTGCGATCGCCACGGATCCATCGCTTATCGGGGTTCCAGATCCTTTTGCCATGAGCGGCTTCAGGCATGTGTGAAGATGCAGAGCATGAGAGTGAGGATTTGAATCCCTGATCATATGTGTCTGCTGTTCATAACCCTGAAGTGTCCAGACTGTCGGGTGTGCTGTTCGTGCCCTCCTTAATCTACCACATTCTGTTGTGTGCTTGATCGGGTCACACAGCACTCACTATGGGCCTCACCAAGCTCAAGACATGGGCTCGCCTGCCCAGTAACGAGCAGTCCGTATCCAACATCTGGATCAACGACGACATTCGCCCTCTACCGCCCTCTCGCCGAACATGGACGAAATGGACCTTTACCTCTTTCTGGACCACCAACCAACTGGCCAGTCTGTCTTCTCCCTGAACCTACCCCACGGCTCTTGCAAGGCTAACACACCCCTTCCAGTCTCGAATTGGCAGACCGGCGCGGCGTTAGTAGCCGCCGGCCTCTCCATCTGGCAAGCCATGATCTCCATCATCCTCGGCAAATGCATCGTCGCCGGCGTGGCCATCGTCAACGGCTACGTGGGCGCAGAATGGCATATCGGCTATCCCATCGTGTCACGTTACGTCTGGGGCATTAAGGGCCAGTTCCCTCTGCTCATCCAGCGCATCATCCTCAGTCTCGTCTGGTTCGCCGTGCAATCCTGGACGGGCGGCATCTGCATAGCCGTCATCTTGTCCTCCATCTTCCCCTCCTTCCAACATATTAGTAACGTCTTTTCCGAGAGCTCACACCTCGAGACAAAGCAATTCGTGGGATGGGTCTTGTTCAACGTCATCTTGATCCCCATCTTGTACATCCGGCCAGAGAAGATGAAGGGCACCCTCTTGATCTTCAACATCATCTCGGCTGTTACGCTGATCAGCATGATGATCTACTCCCTGGCCAAAGCCCACGGTGCCGGCCCTCTCCTGTCGCTTGGCTCGCAACCAATGTCCTCGGAAGAACTAGGCTGGACCATAACATCCGGCGTCTCGACAGTCATCGGCTCCATTGCCGTTGGTCTGACGAATCAACCCGACTATTCACG